TGTAGACAGTACACAGGTACATACATATGGACTTAGTACATACAGACTGACATCAATAATATGCGCGAGGGACGGCGCATTCTGTGACATGCACGATCGGGCAGTCCTACATAGCAAAGTTCTTCAAGTTAGCCTACCCTCATGCACCCGCGGCCCCTCCACCACCACCACCACCACCTCCCCCCAGTCAATCAGTAAATCAATCAGAGCCAGCCACCCTTTCCGGCCCAAGTCAATTTCCCGAAGCTCAAGGGAAGGAATCATTAGTCAATAAGAGTCTTAGCTTTAACTTCCCTTTTTATATGTCAAAAGTAAATGCGGCTGTTCCGATCAATAGTTGGTGTGTAGTATGAAGAAGAAAGAAAAGAAACAAAAAGTGTTGACATCCCTCCTCTTCTCTCTCCTTTCGTCCAACCAGAATCCGTTCCTCCTGTTTCCTTCTCGTCTCCTCTTCCAATCAAATCACATCACTATCACGACCGCCTCTCAAGAACCCGGACCACATCCATATCCATATCCATAATCCATATCCATATCCATATCCATAATCCATATCCATATCCATACCATATCATAACTATCCAGAATCCGTAATCCATATCCAATTCAGATCCAGATCCGTAGCTCCAAAGCAGGGACCCGTCTTCTTTTGACTTCTCTCCCCTCGAGGCTAACTATCTGATAAACAATCTTCACCAGTTCACCAGTCAGATCACGGTACCTGGCTTTCTTCCATCGCTCTCGCCCCGATCGGTCTCCACTCCCTGCACACTTTTTTACTTTTACCTCTATTAGTCTGATATCATTTCCTTTTTTTTTTTTTTTTTTTAATTTATTAAAATTTCTTTCCCTGGTTAAGAAAAGAAAAAGAGAAAGAAACCCACTCTTTCATCACCTTGACTTTCTTCCGTCACCAATAATCCACTCTCGCTCTTCGCCGTTCTCACACAAATCCAATCGCTGCACGAGACTGGCATCAAACCATCAAGCATCAAAAAGAAGGGTACGCGCAGCTTGACCTCATCGCAAACCTGCAGCAAGCAGGCATATTTACAATTCTTCATTAGGCGAACTTTCTAGTCCCGGCATTCACCCACAAAAAGCCTGCCGTCCTACCTATTTCTCCCTCCTCTCGGCCAATCGTCTTGCGCTTCTTGCCTACTACCGGTCCAGTCACATACGAGAATCCACTTTCGCTACCAAAGCCTATTCTATCCTCAATATATCAAGAGCTCCGGAGTCCAAAAGTTTCATTTTTATTTTATTTCACTTGAATCATTCACCAGACCGTATTGAAATACATATCATCATCGGGTCCTAAAAAAAGTTTTGGTACGACTTGACGTCTCACAAGTCTACTATACCACGTAATTAAGCCTCATCAATTCCTATCGCACAACGAGTTGAAGAGCGAGTGGGAAGAGACAGAGGAAAAAAAAGCCCCTTTAGCGAAAGGAAGCTATCTTTTTTTTTCGCATACGGGTTTTCCCCCATCGCATCGCTCCCAAGCTCGTGCAGCAGGACGCATTTACCCCATCACAAGACTTCGGGACTCCACGAATCGGGTATTTTGAGCAGCAACGAGCACGTACCAGCTGCATCAAAGGAAGGCGCTCTGAATCAGAGATAACGAAACGGCCGTTATACGACGCGTAACGAATCCACGGTCTCGGCCATCTCGGACTCGACGTTGGTGCTTTTTAGTTTCTGATCCAGGTGCCCATAAAGACAGAAAAAAAGGGAGTCCAAAAAAGAAAGAAAGAAAGAACGAAAAAATAATTAAAAACGAGATATATAGACACAGACGCCACGCTACCATCTTTTGGAGTACAAAAAGTTCAGCTTTGGAATTCTCAGGACAGATAAGGAAGAATTTACGGCCGAATTGAAGAAAAAATAAAGAAAGCAAGAAGGATTGGAATCGAAAAAGTTCCGACGAAATTCTAAGACAAGCGAAGACGAAAAGGATCTCGAACTGACTTAACTGACCAAACTAGCTGTCCGAAAGGAAAAACGAGGAAAAGAGGAACAGTCTAGGAAAACTATTTTTACACCAGCGACTACTCACCGTTTTTTCTCTCTTTCTTTCTTCTACTTTTATTTTTATTTTATTTTTATTTTTGTTCGACAGTCTTTTTTTCTTCTCTCTCTTGTGTCAAGGTCCGGGATTCAAGGAAACAACCTTGGTGAACCAGCTGTCTTTACTGAACAAGGTAAGCAGAAGCCGACGGGCTGTGACGACAATGATGACAGTGCCTTAGTTCTGTGGCCGTTTTCACATCTCGAGCATGGCGCGGCGGTCTCAATATCCTCAACCAGCTAGCAGCAATTGAGGATGACGATGGCTCGTGAGCGCTCATAGAGAATGACCTCGTGGGAGAGCCCTGGTTGTGCGCTGGCGGTCTATGCAATGATGAGCTGGCGCCCGGGACCCAAAACGGCACCAAAAACAAAATTTTTTCCTGCAGCTCAAGCGCAGAAACAGACGGACGAACAAGCCAGAACAGCCAGACAGGACAAGCTACTAGCTAAGGCTGGCTGTCTTTCCTTTTTGCTACCACCTTTTCAACACAAGGCGGAGCCACCACCACCACAACCACCACCACCACTCCTCGAACAACTCAGACGACCCTTCCCAAATACCCACCACCATTACATACACTACATACTTACATACACCACCCTCCCGATCCTAGGCCTTCTCTTTTCTCTTCCCTTCATCACGCCGCTCCTGCATAATATACTCTTATACCCTTTCGCGTTCGTTTGTTCGTTTGACTTGTACCTTCTACTTTCCCACTAACCCTGCATTCCACAGACATCGATATTTACCCTGAACTATCAAACATATTCTGTCGCCACTACTCTATAACAAGGTAAGAGCATGAACATATCGCTTGCTTCGATGCATCAGCATCTGCGAGCCAGCTGTACCCCAATCGTTCCGTTCTCGGCCTTTCCCCCATCCTGCTTTCTTCTTTTTCTTCTTCTTTTTTTCCCGTTGTTTATTTCTTTTCTTTTCTTTTCTTTTTCTTTTCTTTTTTTCCCTCCTCTTTCGCATATCATCATCTAGTCGATTTCCAACGACAACCATCCGAAGGGCTCCATCGTCATCATCGCATGAACCCAAACTGGCAAGGGTACCATTGACAGTTCCACTCTGGCCCGCTTAGAACAGCATCAGAGCCAGTGCAGCCATTGCTTGCATTTCACCGCCTGTCGAGTAACCTTTCTTTATTTTCTTCCAGACAGAAACGAGATTTGCTACTCGGCCCCGGTGGAACTCCAGTGCGGCCCTTGTCACGCCTCTCCAATATCTTTGGGCGAAATACCTATTTGCCTTTGATTTTCGATCAAGGCGACTAAATATTAGGACTAGAGGGAAACCTTCGCAAGGGTCCATCTCGTCGTTCTGCCCGTTGACTGGCTACCGTATTTTCTGAACACACGAATCAGAATCTCCCCAGGACTTCGGCTCTCCTCCTATCGGTTCAAGGAGCTGGGTCCCACGTTGGGGGCAGCCAGAACGCTAGTGCCTGCATCACGCACAGGAAAAAGTAAAAGGTACCTTAAAGGACCTCCCGCACTTGCTGGTCGTCATCTGCATACTTGCTGTATCGACCTCCCCACTCCCACCCGGCACTAGCTGTGGGTGTGGTTGCCAATTTTCACAAAAAGGCCTTCACTTTTTATTTTTATTTTTATTTTTTTATTTTCCCAGCGTATCACAATCGTCTTCTTCGTCGTCGTTTGCATTACTTTTCAAATCTTCTATCAATTTTATGCTTCGTCACGAACGTCCCGTCTTTCACAACCCCCCAAGCATCACATACGTTCCAGAGATTTCACAGACGCCTTGCATTTGCATCGCTGCCGTCGATCCTGCTAGAACACCCAAATTAGTCTCTCTTTGATATTGACTATTTTGCTGGCAGAGGCTATTCCTTTTCCCTGGTGGCCAACTCATACACGTCAAGCCGCTGGTCAGCTGAATCCGCATACCTGGCTCATATACGTTTCAAAGCTGGTCTGTCTTCCAGTATACAAGAAGAAGGACCCGGGAAGGCTTCTGCTTGTAGAAATACATCTGCGTTTCGAAAGCAATCCCGAGATCTCTCAGACGAGTAGTACATTCATCCTTCCAGTTGACTGGTCCCTCTCTCCAATCCATACAAAATCCTGGGCCCCGGCTATAAAGCTACAGAGCGTTAAATCATCCTTAGACTTTTTCGTTTAAACGAGGGGCTAAGCAGTTTAATCTCGAAGGCTTGCCTATCCAGCCCTCTGACTTTGTCGGTTTTGCCAATTATTGCACGATTGGCGATAAGAGAGAATCAGTAAACCAGTAGTACCTCGTCCTTAGAGTCTCACTTCCTCTTAGTATTCCCTTGTTACTGGACTACACCGTCCCACCTTAGCCAGGTAGCCCTTTATTAGTCTGAGACAGCTACTCTATTTGTAAGTTTTCTATTAGAAGGCTTCGACTTATTGCTTGCTACGATACTACTTTGCAAAGCCCCCTCCTCTTCGCGCTACTAAAAGTAAAACGGTTCCGGGCTAACGAATGGTCGCCACTTCTCTCTCTTCTGATTCAGCTCATAGGACTTGATACCATCTGATCACGCCGGAGCGAAACGATCAGCAAGTAACAAGACGAAGGCTCATCAAAGGTCTCCCGAGTAATACCACCGGAAGACTTGCAGTGACCCTTCGTCTGGTCTAATATAAAGTTGGTAAGTTTCAATAAAGTTATTTATTACCTATCCACATGACTTCGATATCTTTCGCATCCCCATCTTGTTGTGTCTCAGAAAATGCGTTATCGGCTTTTTTGTTTTCATAAACCCTTCCGCTTTTCTGGCACCAGACACAGACACAGACACAGACACTAGTACCAACTAGATCCTGCAGCATCACACATACATATAACTAAACTTGGCCAACAAACAACTGACTCTGGATTTTTCTATATCTTGCAGGTATAGCTTTCCGTAACTCCTATGGATTACGCTCAGCAGTTCCATCAACAGCAGGTTCCGGGTCAACAACATCACGGCAACAGTCAACCTCAGAGCACAGGCTTTCCATCCTCCTCTCAGCTATCTTCTTCTACCATAACTTCTCCCCAATCAGCAACCCATCCTTCTCATCAACAATCTCCAGTCATTTCATCACATCCCAATATGCTCTCCCACCAGCAGTCTTATCACCCTGCCCCTCACCAGTATGCCGCTGCTCTGGCGGCCGCTACAGGTTCTGGGGGCTACCCTTCATACATGCCTTCTGAGAATCAGATGCAAAACCAAATGGGAAAGCCTTCGGCTGCTCCAAGGGCCGGTGGTGCTAAGGTAGTAAAACAAGAACGTGCCGCACAAGTCCAGAGATCCCCTCAGACAATGCCAGGAGCACAACCACCGTCTGGCCCACCTATGGCTAACATGCCCCCTCAAACCCAGTCCCCAGTAACGGCACAGCGACCCACCGGCCCGGTTGGGAGGAGAATGTCAACCCAGCAGTCGCCGACTATTCCAACAAACCCAATGCAAGGACGTCTCTCAATGTCCGCCCAAGGCCAACCTCCCATGCCACAGATGATCCAGCATCAACAGATGCAAGCCCCTCCACCCCCCCCAATGCAGCAAGTTCCTCCACAGCCCCAGCCAGAGATCGCTCCAGCAGAAGATGCACCGCTATACGTCAACGCAAAGCAGTTCCACAGGATCCTGAAGAGAAGAATTGCAAGGCAGAAACTTGACGAGCAACTCAGGCTAACTTCCAAAGGACGCAAGCCATATCTTCACGAATCTAGACACAATCATGCGATGCGGAGACCTAGAGGACCCGGAGGGAGGTTCTTAACCGCTGACGAGGTTGCTGAGATCGAAAGAAAGAAGAAGGAAGAGGCTGGTGAACTTCCTACCGAGGAAGAGGCCCCTGCCCCGAAAGACAAGCGCAAGGATAGCCACCCAGCTTCGACACCCGTTCGACCGCCAGTGAATGCCGCTGCACCGGCTTCATTGAAGAGAAAGGCCGGGGACGGTGGTGAGGGAGGTTCTGCGAAGAAATCAAAAGCAGGGTCCGGAGTCGCCGTTGAACGCAAAATTGCCAATCCCGCAAAGAGGATTCCATCAATGCCTCAACAACAAACCCCAACGTATGATAGTGAAGGTTCTCACGATGATGACGACGGGGACGACGAATGACTTTCACTAGAGACTCTTACTTTAACTAATCGTAAGAACTCTAGTTCGTGAGTTCTCGCAAACACCAACATACATTCATTGCCTGCGACTACAGCTGTTCGAGTCTCTAATATTTTGGGTCTGACCGACATACACCAACTACTCATATATACTACCTCCAACCACATCCCTTCCTTATACAATATTTCCTTTCCTTTTTCTTTTCTTTTTTTCTTCCCCCCCCTCTTTCCCTCCTTTTACTTCTTGTATCAAAGTTCTTTGCTTTATGATATCTAACGAACTTATGATTCTTTGGATCGAACGTCCGGCCTTTCAAACCGACCGAGGACCAAATATCACGACAACCAAAATTCCCTACCATTTATTACACACAAAAAAGAACAGCTGCTCGGCGCACCACCCCCAAAAAAAAACTTTTGTCGGTTCTGCTTTTTTCTTTCTTTATTCCTGCGATCTCTTTAGAAACTACACAAGCCGTGCCGTCGCACACTCTCCTCTGTGAACTTACAACCCCTCCATCCGGTCATATTTCCTAAATACTCTTATCACGGCATGATTCGGGTCCAGCACTGACTGGTCACTTAACATGGCCTTATTATACAATCGGTAAATACATTCTTCAGGGGGAATATAACAAGAAGGGGATGAAATAACTTTTTTTTGTTCTACTCTTCATTTCAGCATAGCATGGATTAACTGGGCACTCTTGACTTTTTATTAACTTATCTACTCGAGTTATTGCAATGTTTTTATGTTGTCGTTCTGCGTTTTTGGTGGGATACTTTCTGTGATTGTATTACTCCTTTTGTTTAGTCTTTGCTTTGCTCTTTTTGGTTTCTTGAACAGCATCAATCAGCGATTCCCTTTTTTAGTCTTTCAATTCCTTTTATTCTTCCTTTTCCTTGGTAACAAATTTCCTTTTGGTTAGGAAAACAAATCTTCACTCTGGAATCTGTGCTTTAGGTTCTTTCTTTTATCACTGAATTTTTTTGCTCCCGTTTTCTTGCAATTCAGGGAGGTATTTTCAAAGCGTGGCCTTTTGATATTTCCTTACGTTTTTTTTCCCGACTTCTATTTCTTTGTGTATTATTTTCCTTATTACAACAACATTACTTTAGTAGTCTCCTAGATCTTGCCCGGCCATAGGGAAGAAATTGGAATTTGGGGTTATCTGCAAGTTTCTTTCGGTTTGATCTTGCTCTCGATTTCCTCTTAATTAAGCTTCCTTCCTCCACTTGCATTGCCACTTGTACAATCATTGTTCAGCTGCCACTTGAGATGGAAGGGGAATCCGGCCATATATTCTTCTGCATCGAGTTTGGCATAACATCTAGGAGAAACATTTCTTTCATCATTTACTATTGTCGTTCCTACATTTTTGATTCTTTTGGAAGGCATGGCAAGGAATACTTTTCATGTACTGGGTTTAATACGTTTTTAGTTTGGTAAAGGATCATATACATTGGGCGGCCTCGTGGTTCATCACATTTCCTTTCTTTTCTTTGTAAATTCATTTCCGATTTATGTTTTGCTAGCTACACAGTGTTTTTCTTCTTTTACCTATTCTATCTATTTCATTATCTTGTCCATACCACTATATTATTATTCTTTTCCTCTTTATTTATTTCTTTTCTTTACGAGACATGAGCGCGTAGAGCATTTATTGAAGCACATGCTCGATTGCGATTGACACGATATATCTGAAAATCCGCATATGCAGGAAGGACGTTGACGTTTCGTATCTATGCTATATGCGTTATTTATATCCCTTTCGGGATATTTAGACCGTCGATAGACGTGTATGTTTTTTCTGCCGTGATTCACCGATCCTTCCAGTATTTCTGTTATCGATAACCCTAATGTATAATACTGTTGAATTATAAAAACAGTCATGCAGTTTGCATGCAAGGCTGTCAACAAGGGATCCGAATGAACTATGTATGATATTATCTCCACCGCCTGCCAGGACATCCTATACTGAGACACATGACATATTATATGTGACTGGCCTTGCAATCGAATCAAGGAGAGTATTTTTTTTTCATGCCAATGCCGGGAAGACACGAATACAAGAGGGGGGAAAGCATGTTTTATGATTATATCATACATGAAGCATTCCTACAGCGTTGTAATATGATCGAGACGAGAGGGAGACATTACTTTGATCAAGTTGATGGCTGATGAAGTGTTTGGATTTTCCACTTTGGATGTTTATAGTCAGTACTCTTTTTTTTTTCTATATTGGGATGTTCAAGAAGGGTGGGATGGGCTACTGGCTAGCTGGGTAAGGCGGGCTGCACGGCGTGGGGACGTCCGTATGTATGTATGCAATGTACATACCATATGTCAGTTAGTACGTATATACGAGCTCAGCAAGAAGCGAACGAGTAGGAAGCCCTGTTATATGGGACTCATGCTAACTATTTGCTCTTTGGCTAAATTATACATTAGAGGTTTTGGGAAGTACGTACCTATACATGATTACTGGCTGCGAGTGCGGGAAGGGATGGGAGATTAGTGTGTTCTAAAATGTGGGAAGTAAATATCCCTGCTATATTAGGGTCTCTTTTTGGGGGGTGTGAGGAAAGGAAAGGAAAGACCGGATGTGAGAGAGAGAGGAAGGAAATACGGTATCATATCGGTGTGGGGCGGCCGGTGAGAGGTTGAGTGGATGGTTGTTTTATCATATGACTGGTGAATGAATCGTGATCTAGTCTAGAACCACTTGGATTGATGGGTGACAAATATAAAGAGTCAAAATCTGGTGGCGATGGGGTGGTGGTATATTGTGGGGGGTGGGTGGATGGGTGTTTGGTTTAGATTCGATTTGGAGAGGGTGAGCCTGTGCATGTAAGTGACGGGATCGATCGGAGTGGCCGGTACACTGAGTGGCTAGAAAGACAGAATATACGCCTATCTTTGGCGTTACGGGTCTGATTGCCTTTGCCCCGGGTTCTAGAGTTAATTATGAACTAGGACATACTTCCGGTTGTTTTCCTGTAGCCCCCGTATGTATGTAAGTAGACTAGTACCCTTGAGGTTATCGATACCTCAACGTCTACGGACGAGTAAGATTCCAATTTAACATATGGCTCAAGATCCTAGAGACTTTCGATCCGCAGCACACTAGTGTCAATAACTTCCTCTTTTTCTCTCTATTTTCCCCCCTCTCCTCGACGGCTTGCAGCACTGCACTTGAGTTTGCACAACTCTGCGTCTGGCCAGTTGGCAGGGGGCACTGGCAATGCTGGAGCCAATTATATCAAGCTGATTTGGTCGGAAGGTGCATTAGGTGACATGTCTCGCTTTTCCGCTGACTTCTTTCTTGTTGAAGGGATCCGCGGTACCGGGAAACGGGTATACGGGTGCGAGCATATGTCATCGATAAATTGGCTACACATACGACCGGTAGAAGTTCATACGGTAGCTATTTTCCTGTGCAATTTTTGTTGTATCAAATCTTCACTGGAGAACAATGGATATGGAGATGTATCAAAACGTGAAGGTAATTTCTCTGGCCACGATACATCTCCCCGCTGATACGACAATTTGTTTACCACGTATCAATTCAGGCAAAAAAAAAGAGAGAGAGCCACTTTCTGCATGACAGACCAATCGCTTATAACGTGCTTGTAGAGAGTAAACTCGTTCTAGCTTGTAATTGGAGTTTCTTCCGACCAATGAATTTTATAGAAATTTTCGGTAACTACGGAGTGGTCCACTTAGGATAAATATTGTTGGGAGACAAAATGCAACACTACGTTCAGCTCTGTCCTTCTTTCTTTCTTCCTTCCTTTCTTTTTTTTTGGAATTAAAACGGTATGGAAATTAGGCATGTTAAACTAAAGAGTAATGGTTTAGGGTTGTATCGTGTATCCTAGTGGTGATTTAGGGTGTGAATTTCTCGAAGGAGGGATTGTTGATACTACCTAAGCGGTTCATCTAATTTAATTGAATGGCTAATGTTGTGTCTTTGGCTTGCATGTTCAGCTTGTGTAAGGTTGGAGTTCGGTAGGTTAGGAAGATATAATGCAAGGTAACGGTTATACGTAAGTTTAGGGGATATAACTAGGGGAAGCTTGCGCAGGCCGTATGGTTCAGAATCTAGACATTTTGAATCTGTGGACGGGTTTTCATTTGGAAACTTAATGGGACAATATCATATTTTCTACTCGTATAATCTATCGAGAGAGCTGTAGTATCTTTATGGTTACATTGGCGAAGCTATGGCATTAAATTAATATTAGATTTATATTTGTTACTACAGGTTTAAGTGAAGAATATTTCTGTATTGATACGACCGTGGGTGTCACGGTGGCGCGCTATAGAGTAAAGTGATCATGATGAGGGCTAGAAACGGGTTGGTGATGTTAATATTAGAAGCTATCTGGCCATGGGTTTAGCTATATTAGACGACTATTTCGTGCATTGTTGCATCTCAGAATTTATATTAAATCGAGTCTGTGAGACCTTCCTCGAGAGCTAGTTTGGGTGGATATAATAGAGGATACTGGAGAGTAATGATAGACTAGAATCGCTGCCCGGGAATGATACTCTCTTGGCAAGGATTCAGTAGATCTAAGATGGTAAGTACGATCAGATATGACGCCCGGGTTATGCTAGCGTCGGATAGCGGGATCGTAACGAATGCGAGGATGAATGGCGTACTCTCGATCTCAGTGTTCTCACTCTCTCACTCTCTCTTTTTTCTCTCTGATAATTTCTGGTGCTTCTAACTGGGGTCGAAACCTAATTAAAAGCTGGTTGCCTTGCAGAAGCGAGCTTTTGACAAGCTAGATATCGTGTACAAGCTTTAATTTAGGTCTCCCTTGTTAGCTTCTCGACTTCGGATCTAGCTCGAGTTTTTCTCTTTGACTCTCTATCAAACATTAATGCTATATCGATATATCCTAACTGCTGAAAGCGAAGATTTTTTATTGTTACTTGAAGAAACGATGATTGCATACTAAATTTGATACTGTAACTAACATACGGATCGA